TATTCTCATCTTTCATCGTATCAGGGAATTTCTCTTCCTGTTCTGGAATTCTAGTTATACAAAGGTTATTACTTTTGATGGTACCCCACATGAACCTTAAGCTTTCTTCATTTTATTTTGGTCTTTTTTCTGATTGATCCCTTTCCATAGAAGTATTCAGGTAATTGTCTCCAATCTCATTAATTCTGTCTTGCGTTGATTTGATTCTACTCCTTTGTCCTTTCAATGTGTTATCTATTTCTGAAAATTTTGTATTAATCTGGATTTCTATCTCTAGATTTGTATCATTTCTAATTTTTCATTTATTTTGTAATTTTGTTGTTGTATTTTCTTCTGAAATTGTTCTAGGGTTTTGTCAGTGTTTTCCTTGATCTGCCTCTCAATTCGTGGAAGGTATCTAAGTATAATTCTTTTCAATTCCTTATCAAGGAGTTCCAATGCTGCTTTTTCCTCGGGGATGTATTCTAGGTTTACATCTTGCCTCCCTTGTTTCTACTGCTTTATCTTGCTTCTTTGTGTAGACTGTGATAGTCGGTTGTCTCTGAGACATTGTGACATTGTTATATATATATTTAATTGGTGATTGTATGTTGGAGTGATTCACCTAAGATTTTTGTTTTCCGTGGATGTATTTGAATAAGCAGGGTACTTTGCTCTTCTTTTCACTAGTTGGCAGCACTTGTGCACTCACCACTTGTCTCCTGGTGGGTGTGATAGAGAATGATATTGACTGCCCAGATCTCTGTTAACTGTTTTTGAAGAGCATTTAAGGATGAGTCAAAGTTTGTACTGGTGGTCGTTCATTGTTGGCCAGTTGGTGCAGAAGGAAGTGGTGGCTCTCACTCAATAAGTGTAGCTGCAGGAGGTGTGGGTGTGGTTGGGTTGTATGGGCACAGTTGCTGTCCCCCATTCAGTCAAAAACAACAATTTAAAAAAAATTAAAAAGTAAAAGCAAGAGGACAAAAATCACACACCACATAAACACATAGGGAACATCACCAAAAAGAGGGGAAAAAAAAAAAGAGGAAAGGCAATAAATGAGAGAAAGTTTTTAAAGAAATACTTTAAAAAGCCAAAAGAAATATAAATAGAAAAATGGGGGGATAAGAAAAAAGAGGTAAAGTAGGAGAATAATGAAGGGAAAAATGCAGAAAGGAAAATAAAGAATGGGGAGAACCACAAGAAAGAAAAAAATTGGAATCAGGGAAAGAGAAGAGAGAAAAAGGCCAAAAACTAGAACTTTGGAAGAGAAGAAGAAAGAATAGTAATAAAAAGGACAAAAAAGAAAAAATAATTATTATTATAATTTTAAAACAGACAAAAACAAACTAAAAAAGAAAAGAAAAAAAATTGGGGCAGGGCACCCAGGCTCCATCAGGGCACACAGACTGGGATGGAATTCTTGCCACCGCAGAAGGTGGGTAGGAATGAGGGATGGCTGCACCTTTCCAGTAGTCAGTGTCTGGAATGTCCTTGCAGTCCCTGGCAAGAGGAGTCTATTCTTATGTCCCTCAAATCTGAAAGAGTGCTGTCACTTTAAATATCCCAAACAGTCCACTTGTAAATATTCAAAACGTCAGCTGAAAGTCCACAGCTCAGCCTGTCGCCCTCTTCGCTGCTTCCCCTTTTATTCACCAGCCACCAATGTAGTCTTCCATGCAACCCTGGCTACCAGGGCCAATTTTTAGGTTAATCCTTAGTTCCTAACACCACTTGGCAATATCCAAGCTGTCTGTACCGTCAAGATGACTAACATTCTGCAGCTTTGTATATCTCCTTTTTCATTGTTTTCATGCACTAGTTGGAGTTCAGTCCACTTCTGTATCCTTCCTTTCAAAGCTCAGGGCTCCAGGATTATCTTCTGTATCTGTGTTAACTGGTCCCTCTTTTCTTTATTGAAGAGGGTCTGTGTATTTGTCTGCCTCTTCCGCCGTCTTACTGGAATTCTCCAGCTAACATAATCTTGAAAAGTAAAACAAAATTGGAAGACACACAGTTCCCAATTTCAACACTTACTACAAAGCCACAGTAATCAGAGCAGTATGTACTAGCATAAGAAGCAATGGAATAGAATTGACAATCCAGTAATAAACCCAGGTGTTTATGGCTAATTGATTTTTTTGCAAGGTTGGTAAGCTCCTTCAATGGAAAGAATATTCTTTTCAAAAATTGATGTTGTTTGTACAATAATGTTAATTGAAACATTATTTACAATAGCCAAAAAGTAGAAACAACCCAAGTATCCTTCAGCAGAGGAACAGAAACAGAATGTGGTGTATCTGCACAATGGTATATTATTCAGTCAAAGATACCGTTTGATGCATCCTATAACATGATAAATCTTGAAACATTGTAATAAGTGAAATAAATCAGCCATAAAAGGATAAATATTGTATGATCCCACATATAAGAAATATCTAGAATAGGTAAAAGCATAGAGAAAAATGTTGACTAATGGTTATCATGGGTTCAGGGGAGGATGGAATTGGAATTTACTATTCAAGGTATATTAAGTTTCCATTTGGAGTGATGAGAACTTTTGGAAATGGGTTGTTGTTATTATGTGCTGTCGAGTCAAACCCGACTCATAGCGACCCCTCCTTGGGTTTCCGAGGCAGTATCACTACAGAAGTAGGATTGCCCAACCTTCCTTCCGAGGAGTGGCTGGTGGGTTTGAACCACCAGCCGTCTGGTTAGCAGGCAAGTGTCTTAGCCACTATGCTACCAGAACTCCCTTGGAAATGGGTAGTGGTTATGATTACACAACGTAGTGTATGTAATTAATGTGTTTGAACTGTAAACTTACAAATGTTTCAGATGGTAAATAGGACTGCCCCATAGGGTTTCCAAGGCTTTCCACATTTTTCTGTCACAGAGCAGCTGGAAGGATCCAACCACTGACTTTTCAGGTAGCAGCCAAGTGCTTAACCACTGTTCTGCTTACCTAATGCCGCTCTGACAAGAATATGCCACAAATAGGATGGCCTTAACAAATAGGAGTTTATTCTCTTACAATTTTGAGGCTTTAAGTCCAAGTTAAAGTGCCAGGCTCTAAGGGCTGGGTGAAAGTCCCTCAGCCTTGGGCTTCAGATCTGCCTACAGCTCCTGGCCCACTGAAGCTAGAGGCTTTATTTCACTCAGACAGCTGCTGGCTGCTGAGGCTGCCAAGCCCAAGTTTGACAAGTAAAATGGCACAGTCCTGATGTTACCAAACCACACAGCAGGCCATTAATTCAAGTCCATAGAAAGTCCCAAGGTCGGTAGAGCATGGCAGGCTGCTGAACAATGACATGGCTACATGCAGGGTCCAAGCGTGCCATGAGCTAGAGACTATCCCCAAGGCTTCTCCTTATATACAGGAAGCAGACCACATCCCAAAAGCAGTTACTCAACTGCTTGTGGTGGATCCCACCATGGGATTGAGATTGCCAGTCTCATCATGGGGAATAACTAAACTACCACCTACCCAGCCACTCAACTAGCCCCAGCCAAGTTGACAAACAGATTTAACTACCACAATCACTATGCCATCAGGGTTCCCTCACAAACACATACATATACATAACAGGTAAGAGCATGAATTTTTGATACCTGGGTTTGAATCTTGATCCTACTAACCAGCTGGCTTTAGGCAAATTATATGACTTCACTGAGGCTCAGTTCCTTCATTTGAAAAACATAAATAATACTGTTTCACCAGGATGAAGTAAAAGTTAGAAGAAAATACATATTTAGAGCATTTGCACAGTTGTTGGCATATGATATAGCATAACAGTACTTGGTATAACACGTTTGCTGTAGGGGCAAGGACGCAGTATCTTCTGACATCCTTTAACTACCCAAGAGAAAGACAGACTCACCATCAGCAGCCCAAGGCCTGTTCTTATGAGGCCCAACATTTCACCACCCTCCAGCCCTCTTACTAACCTTGACAACAGCAGTCCCTCCCACAGCACCCATCAGCTCTCTGCTGTATTCAATAATTCATTGCAGTGGCCACACGGAACTCGCAGATTCTGGGGTTTATAAGGGAAGCAACATGCTATGATTCAAGTTCAGGAATACACTCAGTCTCTCTCAGTCTCTGTCTCTAAGATGGCTTATTTGAAGCCTGGCAGAGTAGCAAAACTAACCAATCCCAATATCAGAATACTACACACTTGAGAGGAGCTCTGGTAGTGTAGTGCCTAAGGCACTTGACTGTTAACCAGAAGGCTGGTGCTTCAACCCACCAGCCACTCCTCAGAAGGAAGGTTAGGCAATCTACTTCTATAGTGATTGATACTGCCTCAGAAGCCCAAGGAGGAGTTGCCATGAGTCAGGTCTGACTCCACAGCACATAACAACAACAACACACTTGATAGAGAACGAACTTTCCCAGATAACTTTATGGTGCCCCAGGTAGATGACTTTAACAAGCAGCTTACTCAGTTGCTCATGGCAAAGTAGGAGTTACAAAGACTATGACTAGAAAAGCCATACCATGTAATTTACTATACCACAATGTTCCAAAGTATGTATGAACGTATCTCACTGCACCTGTTGGCATATCATAACTTAATGTTTATTATGTGCCAGGCACTATGCTAAGGCACTTGAAATACCTCATTTTACTTTGATAAAACCCTCTGAGGGAAGTATTATTGTTACCCCATTTTATAAATCAAAGAGATTTACTGATTTACTCAGGTTCACATAACTAGTAAGTCTAACTCAAAAGGGTATACTTTTAACTAGCTATGCTGTCTATCCAACATAGTAAGTGTACAGTAAACCTAAGTTACTCATTCATAGCCTTATACATTTAAATTTTATATTACTGTAGTCTGTTTGAGGTGATACTTTTTAAGAGAATCATAAACATTGTTGAAAGTGGTTCAGAGAATACCGTATTTTGAAGAAATTAACTGTCAGGCCCCAAATAAAAGCAAGAAATAATCATTTGCCTCTTTAGTAGTAAGTATTTAACAGTGTTTTGTTTTGTTTTATTTTGTTTACAGGTTGGAGGTGCATTTGCTCCCCCACTGAAAGATTTATGTAGATTCCTGAAAGAAAATTCAGAATATGGAGTAGCTCCTGAATGGGGAGATGTTGTTAAGCAGTCTGTGAGTATTTTATGAATACTAACTTAGTCATCATTTTGAAAAATAAATATTATTTAATTATATCTTAGATTGAACTTTCAGTTAAAGAATGAATAGAATATTTAATGAACATATGCCAATGTTTTTTACTTCATAATTTTTATTTTACAGAACACATTGCGGATTTCTCACTTGCTTGTTGCATTAAATATAGAACCAGTATATACTGATATATTTTTATTTTAACTTCTAAGATACTGTTTGAACAATACCACAAAGAATAGTAAAAAAAAAAATGTGGGCAAAGAAATATATGTAAGGATATTCTTCATGGTATTAAAAGAAAATACTTGTTGCTGGTGAGTTGATTGCAACTCACGTCAAACAATGTTACAGTGTAGAATTGTTCATAGGATTTTCTTAGCCATAATCTTTATGAAAGTAGATCACTAGGCCTTTTTTCCACAGTGCTGCTGGGTGGGTTCAAACCAGCAACCTTCATTTAATAGTCGAGTGCAAACCATTTTTGTCACCCAGGGACCAGTGTTCATGATATAGCAGTAAAAAACTGGGAATAAACTAATGTTGTATATAACTGTTTTAAAAAATTATATCTTAAAAACATCTAATGACAAAAGAGAAAGAGTTCACGATATATTAAATGAGTGTTAAAGGCTAACTTTTTGGAAAATGCTGTATACACAATAGCTTTTATTTTTATAGATGTCTGAATGACAAAGGCAGACTATAGTATGATTCCAGTTTTTTAATTTAGAAAGAGAGATGGGGAGAATTGAATAATGTATATGTATGTACATGACAAAAATGAAGAACACACCCTGAAATGTTAGCAATAATTATATCTGAATGATGAGATTTTAGATGATTTTTTTCCTTATATTATTTTTTCTCATGTTTTCTGCAATGAGCACTAATATTTTTTAATAGAACAAATAAGGTAATCCGTTCAAAGCAAAGAAAACAAGTAGTCCCATAGATTGCTTAATCCACTGTCTAGAGCAAGACTGTCACAATTGATAGCCATGTAGTACCTAAGGCATTTAACTGCTAACCAGAATGCTGGTGGTTCAAACCCACCAGCCACTCCTCGGAAGGAAGACTGAGCAATCTACTTCCGTAAAGATGCCACCTCAGAAACCCAAGGAGGGGTTGCTAGGAGTCAGAACCAGCTCGATGGCAGTGGGTTTGTTTTTTTCCTGTTTTTGGTAGGCACTTGTCTATATTTTAAAACTACATATGTAGCTTGCTTTGTTTTGTTTTGTTTTTTTTTAATTGGACAACACTAGTCTAAATGTTCAAAACTTCTAAAACATCTGGAAAATAATGGAACCCCAGAAAATCATGGGAGAATTATAAGAAAGTAGCATAGATTGTTGTCTGTTGTGCTGGACTCAATGATTCAGTCTGCAGGTACTGTTGCTGTTCTTAAGCCAAGTGATTTTTCCTGCTCTTGAGTATATTGTGCAGCTTGGCTCTACCTCCCTTATTCCCAAAGTTACAGTCAGAAGATTCCCAAGAGGCATCTCTGTTTAGCCTTAATCTTTCCCTTACTTCCTCCTCTTTTCCTTATTGCTCTTCCAAATTAGAAGGGGACCACTTATTCAGGTTATTAGAACAGGCACTGATATGAAACGTGTAAAGTTTATGAAAGTATTCATGAAAAAATGTCTCTGGGCTTTAGATTTTCTAGAACTATTCTACAAACTCATGCCTCCCACTGTGAAGGAGTGTCACAGAGTTCTTTCTATTTCTTACTCTACAGTGGAATGAAGAGTGGACGACCCTTCCAACCCTCTATTTAGGATAAAATTAAATAGGTTTTCTCTTTTATAATTGAGTATTTTATATCAGTACAGACTGAGTTTATGAATTACCTGTTATTAGTAGATTATTTGTATGACAGCTAATAGCTATTGATTTTATTTTTCACATAGCTTTTACTAACAACTATATATATAAATATATTTCAGGGATTTCTTCCAGAAAGTATGTATGAACGTATTCTCACTGGTCCTGTTGTAAGAGAGGAAGTAAGCAGGAGAGGGAGACGGCCTAAAAGTGGAATTTCGAAGGCTGCTGCCGCAGCAGCAGCAGCAGCAGCTGCAAATGCCACAAGTGTTTCGGGCAATCCTTTGTTAGCCAATGGATTACTTCCAGGTGTGGATCTGACAACTCTTCAGGCCTTACAACAAAACCTACAAAACTTGCAGTCACTGCAAGTAACTGCAGGGCTGATGGGAATGCCTCCTAACCTGTCTTCTGGAGGAGAAGCTAAAAACATGGCTGCCATGTTTCCCATGCTGCTGTCAGGAATGGCTGCATTACCAAATCTGTTGGGCATGGGAGGACTCCTTACAAAGCCTACAGAATCTGGGACAGAAGAGAAAAAGGGACATGACTCTAAGGAGCTAGAAGGAAAAAAAGAAAGGACAGAGAGCCAAAATTCAGAAAATGGTGGAGAAAACTCTGTATCAAGTTCTCCTTCAGCGTCCTCTTCTACTGCGTTAAATACAGCTGCAGCTGCCAACCCATTAGCTCTTAACCCACTGTTACTATCTAATATACTTTATCCAGGGATGCTTCTCACTCCAGGCCTTAATCTTCATATTCCAGCTTTGTCCCAGTCCAATACTTTTGATGTACAGAAAAACAAAAACAGTGACTTAAGCTCATCTAAGTCTGTAGAGGTAAAGGAAGAAGATTCCAGAGTCAGAGATCAGGTTGACAAAGGGGGAACTGAACCAAGTCCTCTCAATGAAAACAGCACAGATGAGGGTTCAGAGAAAGCCGATGCTTCGTCTGGATCTGATAGTACATCATCATCCTCTGAGGATTCAGATTCTAGTAATGAAGACTGATTCCTAGACTCTGCACTTAAATTATGAACTGATTTTGGATTCTTTTTCTTTAATTATTAATTGTAAATATCCCAGTGTTGAGTGCATCAGTAATTTACTGACCGAACATTTCAGTTATTTGTTTAGAAGTGCAAACTGCTTTCAGAGACGTTTTGCATGTAATATTTCTTAAGATTCATAAGTTTCTGAACTCGTATGTACTATCAAATACATAAAGGTGTAAAATTACAACAAATGGCATTATAATTTTGTTGGGGGTTAATTTTATGAAAATTATGCTCAATAAGAGTTGTATATTTAATATATTTGCAGTGGACACAGAATACTTTATGCATATTACTGATTTAATTTGAATATAGTTTTACAGCCTCCTTGACACCTATAATTTACAGATCAAAACTCAGCAATAATTTGGGCAGCTAATGAATGTCATGAAAGCTGTAGAATCTACATCACCATCCATTGCTTTAATTACATGAAAATGCTCTAGTGTTGTGATGCACTGCTGATGTTTCCAATTCAGGTACAAGTGTGTTTTAAAGAAGAAATAAGTTTCCCAATCAGCCAATTTAACTGGCTACCTGTTACCTCAGCTGAGTTAGTTTAGGAAGTTTACATTCGTTTCTAATTCTATACTTGTTTTCAGGGGTTTTTTAAACACATCCTATATATCATGTTAATCTGGCAAGAAATATGACTTGCTTTTTGCTGAGCTTAACTCTGATATCAGTGAAAGTAAGTCATAAAATAAGCTTGTGTCATGTGACTTTGGCACCCTATAGACATACTTATTTTTAACTTTTCCAAGTTTGGCCTCCTATTAGAAATAATTGTCTCTGATTGAGTAATGTCTGTTTCCAGGGTTCAGAAAAGGCAAACTCATGAATGCCACTGAAAAGAACTTTCAACACAGAATACTTCATGTCAAAGAAATCGTTTGTTTGCTTTATTTGTTTTTTATGTCATGAAAATCTTCCAGAATTAACAAATAGTGGTAAAGTAACGTGCAGATAGTCTAAGTTCATTTGAGTTTCTAAATGTAAGCAGAGTAAATGTGGCCCAGAATCAGTGTTGGGTTATCAGTTTATATTAAATACGCTGAGTTGCCCATTTTGAAAATGCACTTTGAATATCTCAAAAAGATGATATGTTACACCTGTAAACCACAAAAAAACGAAGCCAAAGGCTTCTGTTCAATTTCTTAGAACCCATTGCCATGTAAAATTTGTCCAGTATTTGATTTGTGATACAGTTTCTCCTCCTTAAGCTGCTATTAATCTGACAAGGTAGAGGTCCAGGTTAACCTTCATATACGTTTAAAACAATTAGAACTAAATTGGATTTAAAAATATTATTGACATTCTAAGGAGAGATAAAGCGTTAGCATTTTTCTGGTTCTCAAGTTAGTGAGTGATAAAGTTTGCAAGGGGATACATTCAAGGGGAAGATTTACCCCAATTCTCTTCCACACAAAAAATAGCTTTTAGTATGTTTTGATAGAACTCTGTTGCTTTGTCATGAATTAAGCAATTGCAATGGGTTTTACTAAGACCTTTACCAGTGAATTATGTTTCTGTATGTAAAATATTAACCCTTTTATTAGACAGACAGTGTTACATGTATTTACAAAATTATATGAGTTCCATTGGGATTGTGTTGATTTTTGTATTTTCCCAAAATAGTACTTTTAATTGATAGTCCTTTATTCAGTGTCTTAGCAATAGTAACTATAATGCCCATCCAGGAGAAGTGGGTAGTAATTCTTCATCATGAAAACGATATATTACATATTTAGTATCTTCCCTTTGCAGTATTGCACTTTTGTTTAACTAGAGTACACCTATAAAATCAGCCAAAGTTTTTCACAGTTCACTTAGTTTGCCAGTGGAGTATTTCAACACCATCCATTCTTTCCTTCCCTCCTTCCAATTCCACCCACCTGGTCTTTATTCCTCTTTCCCCAATTTAAAAAATAAGTAAGAATTAAATAATGATAATAATAAAAGCCCTAGATCTTGTCACTGAAATCTAATTTATATCAAATTTATGAAATAAAGTATTTTCCTAATTATGGTCAAGTGAATTTGGTTAACATCCTAAGTGATTCTCTTTCTATGTATTAAGGCAATTACAGTTTTCAAAGCATTAAGATTTATATTAACTTTAAACATTCTCTTGGGTTCCAAGACACTTCTATTTAGTATTCATTAGGGGAAAGTCCAGCTATCAGCTTTAAAAAAAATGCAAGTATGGTTGTGTAAAGTTAAGGATTATAAGGAAAAAAAAATCAATAGGATTACATAATACTAAAGTTGCAGTTGAAAGGATATCCAAGTATGTGTTCGTAGTTACTGAAAGAATTATAGCTGTTATTGCCTTGTATTTATAGCCCTTGTTTCAGGTTCATGATCCCAAGTCTTAGTCCAATTTTCCTTTTGGACATTTGCAATATTTACCAGTTGTGTTCTGTGTAGTCTGGATTTGCTTTCTGTAGTTGAGCAAACGTCTTAAAAGTCATTTGTAATTTATTAAATTACTTTCTATGATGTTCTATAGAGCAAATGGAAGTTTAATTATTTTTTATTAAACATATTCTTTGACTACCCATGATGTCAGCCTCTGTACATGACAGTACTTTTTTTTTAATTGAATTTTATATATAACTTATGTCATACCAGTTATGAAAGAGAGTAAACATTCCTTAAAAAGAAAGCATACTTTGGAAAAAGTTTTAAAACACAGGAATTGGCTGTAATTATATCCACAATATTATTAATGATGTTTATTTTTTCATTTTGATTTAATTGCTGGCCCATTGACATTGATAATCGCTCCCAAAAATAATTTTTGGAACACTAATTGTTAAATGCAGTTTTGCAGCCCAGTCCTTACCCTGTACCCAACATACATTATTTCCTCCAATTTTCTTTCCCTGATTCTTTCAATTAAATTCCAGAAAGAAGCAGAGATACACCTAACTCTTTTAGATATCTATTTTGGAAATCAGTGATCATTTTTTTCCACTGGACTTAAGAGATTTTCTTAATTTACTGCCATTTTTGGTAGTATTTTTTGTAAACTTTAAAGAAAGTTATTTTTCTTTTAATTACAAAAGTAAACCAGTGGAGTCTTATCATACATTCACTTAACTTGTACACATTCCCTTATGTTTTAAGCTTGGAAAGTCGTTTTTTCCTCTTTGTGTACAGAAATGAATGTAAACAAGCTAACTACTTCATCTAGTGCTTGCCCAGAGGAACGTCTAGTGCTGGAGGGAGAGCTGCTATGTTGGATCTTTCTAAGAGAAGCACATTAAGTACAAGATGTTGTGTATTTTGTGAGTTGCATGAGGGAAAGAGTGATTTTTTTTTACTACATGTAATACTTTATGCATTAATTTTATAAGTTAATCTCTACATAAATGCAACTCTAGTACATAAGCTACTTACTAAAAAAGGTGGGAAATGGCAAGGACAAATATATGACTCAATCCAGAGATACGTACTGTTAATGTGTCTAATCTTATTTTTTTGTGTTACATTTTTTATATAATCAGTCCTGTGTGAGGCAATAATATTTAGTGCACTGCTCTCAATATATTGACTTAAGTCAATAAATATTCTGCAACATGATTTTTAATACATAGCATTGTGCATACATATGGAATTTGTTTAACCATTTGCTTAAAAGTAGATATTTGGGTTTATAGGTACATTTTTGCATCCATACCTAATCCTTTCCTTAATTCCTGGAAATTTGTTTTGCTTTTTTAAATAATTTTGGTACATATCACCAACTTTACAATAAAGGATTAGTAGCAATTCATACTGCCATTAGCAGCATACATTTTGTGCATGCCTAATTATTGTATATTCTTACCAATACCATGTATTGTCTTTTTAAATAATCTTTACCAGATTAAGAGGCAAAAAAAAAAAAAAAAAGCTTGATTATTTTTAAAATTAACCTGTTGTTCTTTTTTCTAAAAATGAATGCAAATTATAGAATATTTGGGTAGGGGAAGCACAAATTAAACAAAAATCCCCCAAGATGCTGACATGCAGAGATAAATGTTAACCTTTTGGTCCCTGTTCTTTGCATGTGCATATTATATATTATTTTAGTAAGAACAGAATTATTCTTTAACATTTTTTTTCATTTACTATATGGTGATTATCTTTCCATGTCATTAAAAAATCTACAGAATTTTTAAGGGCTTTCTAATACAGGCAGTCCCCAGATTATGAACAAGTTCCGTTCCTAAATCTGCCTTTAAGTAGAATTTGTATATAAAACAGGTACATTTCGTATCTAACATCAGTTGTTGCTATATTGTTATGTGCTGTGCAGTCAGACCCGACTCATAGCGACCCCTCCTTGGGTTTCTGAGGCAGTATCACTACGGAAGTAGATTGCCCAACCTTCCTTCCGAGGAGTGGCTGGTGTGTTTGAACCGCCAGCCTTCTGGTTAGCAATCAAGTACCTTAGGCACTACGCTACCAGAGCTCTCAGCAGTCAGTCAAATGTTAATCTTCGTTTATAACTCAAAAACTCACTGTCATCGAATAGATTCCAACTCATAGCAACCCCTGTTGGGTTTCTGAGGTAGTAAATCTTTACAGAAGTAGATTGTCCCATCTTCCTTCCATGGAGTGGCTGGTGGGTTTGACCCACCAACCTTCTGGTTAGCAATCAAATGTCTTAGGCACTGCACCACAAGAGCCCCTTTCTTTCTGATCTTCCGTGAATAGTGTACCTTTAAGAAATATTTCCAGATACACTACAACATCTATAACATAATACAGTAATAATGTTTTGATGTGCATGTTGCAAAGTAGCACCCATTTATTATTACAAACTATTGTATATAGCGCAAATTTTTAATATAATAGGCTTTATGGGGGTTGATTCGTAGCTGCAAGTCATATGTAAATTGAACGTTTGTAACCCAGGGACTGCCTGTATCTCATATAGATACAATTTACTTAAAATCCTATTGA